CACCATGCCCAGCTAATTTTTTGTAGTTTTTAGTAGAGACGGGGTTTCACCGTGTTGACCAGGATGGTCTCGATCTCTTGACCTCGTGATCCACCCGCCTCGGCCTCCCAAAGTGCTGAGATTACAGGCTTGAGCCACCGCGCCCGGCCCCATATATTTGTTTCTAATTGATTATTCAAAGGATGTTGAAATATTGAGTCATTGTGCTGTCTGTGTGGAATCCCTTAGTGCAGAATACCCTGCAGTGATTTTTCCGCCCATCTTAGCATTGAAGTTGTGGGCTGTACCTGCATGTCTTTATGGCCCTTTAACTCAAGTAATTGGTCAGTACCTGTATGGGTCTTTTATACCACCCGTTGATGCCTAAACTTAACTGCTGCTGCACACTTAATTACAAAGAACAAATGCTAACTTTTCTCAGCATTGATGGATGGTATCCAAAAGTATTTTTATGTTGCTTTAACATGGCTTAAATTTTGAACTTAATTGTGTCAAGTTGGTATGGTCATATTAATACCGATGCTTTCAGATTTTTCAAACACCTAAATGAAAATGATAAATTCAAAATTGATACTTTCAGTTTCTCATATCAAGGGATGAACTGTAGCAGGATAGTCAACATGACTGTGCGGCATGGTGCTTTTTTTCAGGTGAATGGTCTTAATATGAGGGTTAAGGTCTTGTGAGGACAGTGGTTGATTATTGTTCATGTTCAAAAGAAATTTGGGGATGGGTGGGGATACTGTCAATGAGACTTTTCCAATATTCTACCTCATTTGTCCTGTCGTGGAACCGAAGGGAATGGTTTGGATAATGGCGACAGTGGTGAAGTATGGCTCAGGCTTCAGGATTTGTCAAACATCTAATGAGGCTTGACATGCAAGTACTATTAAAATCTCCTTAGCATATGCTGTTTTCCTGATTACTGGGGTGGGTCCTAAGTTGTCTAATGTAATAGGTATATCAACTGATTGATATGTGATAGACATTAATATGACAGCTATTGCAGATACAGTCATACAAAATGAGATCTTTCATAAGCTTGAATATTGGGTTTTCACTCTCGTGTGAGATACCCCTCTCTCAAACCTTGCTGCGAAGTCAGCACTATTGGGCACATTACTTGTCTGACATGAGGGACAAAAAGTAAAACAAAATGTAAGGGGTAAAGTTTGTACTTAAAATATATTCTTATTCTATCATAGGATAAATCTTCAGACAAAAAAGTGCAAACAAAAGGGAAAAGAGGAGCAAAGGGAAAACAGGCCGAAGTGGCTAACCAAGAAACTAAAGAAGATTTACCTGCAGAAAACGGGGAAACAAAAACTGAGGAGGTCAGAAGTTTGTGTGTGTGTGTGTGTGTGTGTGTGTGTGTGTGTGTGTGTGTGTGTTTGATTGCTTTTGACTGAACAGTAGATACAAATGATATGTTTTTTTGTAGCAGGTAAGTCTTTATTCATTATAATATTGAACAAAGTTTTGTACAGTATCCCAAAGTGAATGAAGATCAAGCAAATAAAAGACTAGTGTCATTAATCTTTGTTTTTAGAGACAGTGTTTGTTACCCAAGCTGAATCTTTATTGTTTTAAGCTATGAGGAAAACATTTTTTTTTTTTATTAATCAAATGAAGCAGTGGGAGTACAGACAGCACAGAGAAATCTGTAACGGGTTTTGATTGGTTTGTTGTGAACACTACTGCACTCCTCTAACTGGGAAGCTGTTTCTTGAAAAGTAACCGAAGCAAAGTTCAGTTAAGCCAGGCTTTCATTTTGTGTTTGTTAGGTAAGTAAGAAAAGATAAGTACTTTAGGGTAGTAATTTTTAAATTTTGATGTTTATACATCAAATTCCTTTTTTTTTTTTTTGAGACGGAGTGTCACTCATGTTACCCAGGCTGGAGTGCAATGGCGCGATCTCGGCTCACCGCCTCCTGGGTTCAGGCAATTCTCCTGCCTCAGCCTCCTGAGT